CGACTATCGCCGCCTCGATCTCCCTCTCGTCCCCAGCCTTGTTCGCTGCTCCCAGCTTCGCCTTCGCGACCTCGACCTCCCCTCTCTGCTTCGCCTCCGCGACCTCGACCTCCCCTCTCTGCTTCGCCTCCGCGACCTCGACCTCCCCTCTCTGCTTCGCCTCCGCGACCTTGACTTTCGCCGCCGCGATCTTCCTCTCGTCCCCAGCCTTGTTCGCTGCTCCCAGCTTCGCCTCCGCGACCTCGACCTCCCCTCCCAGCTTCGCCTTCGCGACCTCGACCTCCTCTCTCAGCTTCGCCTCCGCGACCTCGACCTCCCCTCTCTGCTTCGCCTCCGCGACCTTGACTTTCGCCGCCGCGATCTTCCTCTCGTCCCCAGCCTTGTTCGCTTCTCCCAGTTTCGCCTCCGCGACCTCGACCTCCCCTCTCAGCTTCGCCTCCGCGACCTTGACTTTCGCCGCCGCGATCACCCTCTCGTCCGCGACCTTGACTTTCGCCGCCGCGATCACCCTCTCGTCCCCAGCCTTGTTCGCTGCTCCCAGCTTCGCCTCCGCGACCTCGACCTCCCCTCTCTGCTTCGCCTTCGCGACCTCGACCTCCTCTCTCAGCTTCGCCTCCGCGACCTCGACCTCCCCTCTCAGCTTCGCCTCCGCGACCTTGACTTTCGCCGCCGCGATCACCCTCTCGTCCCCAGCCTTGTTCGCTTCTCCCAGTTTCGCCTCCGCGACCTCGACCTCTCCTCTCAGCTTCGCCTCCGCGACCTCGACTTTTGCTGCCGCGATCACCCTCTCGTCCCCAGCCTTGTTCGCTGCTCCCAGCTTCGCCTTCGCTAAATCTATCTCTGCAAAGGCTATCTTCTCTCCATCGCGGCTTTCTCGCGCTGCTTGTAGTCTCTTCCTCATCTCCGTTACCTCCGTCGCGGCGATCTCCCTCTCGTTCCCTCGAGCATTCCATGGGTTCAGCTCCACCGCTTCCTCTTCAGGTGGGGTATGTAGATCCTGGACATGTCCTTGACGCGTCCTTTGCCTTGAGGGTCTGCTCTCGTGCATCTCGGCATCGCGCCTTCGCTTGGATCTGTTGCCTGACATGCTGCTCGAATGGCGCTTGATTTCGAGGGGATTTGGAGCGGAGCAGGAGGATTGGAGGTTCTATTTGAAATGCCCGCTCTCAATTTCACGTGGAGGGGTCCGATTTGAAAGTACACCCCCTCTATAGAGCCTCGGGCGCGGCTTGTAAACCGGCCCCCCCGGGCCCCAGTGACCGGCGCGGCCCGGCCGCCCCGACGGTGACCCGGTCGGCGGTCGGACGGTCGGCCGGGGCCCGGCCCGGATTCTCGAGGCAAGTTTACTCCAAGTCACGGGCCCGAAAGCTGAAAGTTCATGGCAAGTTAGTCGGCATGACGATACTAGATCCGATCCGAGGCTTCTCCCACGTGTGATAGTCCCCCGAGCTACGGTGGCAATGGATCGCGGACGGACTCTCAACAGCAGCCTCGGACAGTGAAAGCGACTGAGCGATCAGTCAAGTGAAGTAGTGAAGTATGCTGAGAGAGAATTTACATAGAAGGAGCGGGTAGATTACGCTTCTCCGACATACTTGTAGGTGCGTTTGTAGTCGGATAGAGGAAGGTTTGTTGTTGTCATACCTGGGCGCTGATATTCTCGAAATGAGAATGATGAGATCGTCCTTCGAGAAAGACTGATACAGCAGTGAGAAGAACATTTTTGTGGGAAAACAACAAGTACTTTGATCTGAGGAGACGTCGCCCAGCTGAGCACGTCAATCTGCGATTGACGTCAGATGAAAGAGAAAGCTTCTCCAGCGCACACATAACGAGCAGGGACTTTATACAATCAAGGAATGCTGAGAAAACGCAACGACAACGACACACACACACACACACACACACACACACACAGGGAGGAAGAAGAGAATGACAGGCAGGTAGGCAGGCAGGCAGGCTGGCAGGCAGGCAGGACCGTTTCCAAGCACGGAGTGAAGATCATGTTAGGCCCAGCGGTGAAGAAGAAGGGAAGGACGTGGCCGTGAGGGGGGAGGTGACACCAGACACTCTCGTCCCCAAAGTAAGGCCTCAGTACAAGGCTCTTCCCCCCGTTGTGCGCTGACTCGGAGCGCGAGGTGATCCGCAACGTGATCCTCAGATCCTGCAAGGACGGAATTTCCACTGGGATACCATTGAAACGAACCTCCCCGTTGAGAAATGTCCCCACCCCTGCTACCTCCGTAGCACACAGCTGCATCTTGTGTAAAAAATTGAAGGAGTCGGCCTGTGGTGACAGTTTACCCCAACATCGGACAAGAGGTCGTGGGATCGGTACCAGGCTCTCGACGAGGCAGCTGAAATCGTCCAACCTCAAGGGATCGAAGGCAAGGGCCTTCTTTCCGTACATCGCCTGACCTCCGTCGTGAGTTGTCTTCCACACCAATGAATCCTTCTTCGATAACACAACTGACATCAACAATTTCACGTCAGTTCGCATCAGGTCGCTAATGTTGTCCTTGAACCTGGCGTAACCTCTGTACTGATGAGAAGATTCTCGTTCTTGGACAGCACCGGGATGGCAGTGCTGGCAGCAGAACACCAGGTGATGAAGACGAGAACAACTCCTTCACCTGTCATCCAGCTCCTCGAACCAATCCTTCTCACTCTCGTCCTCGCGAACATCACTCCCTAGGTTGGAGAAGACGTACGCATGCAAGCGAACCCAGGAAGGGATACCTCCCATCCTCGCCCTCACCCATCGGACGAGGTCCCCGACGCTATTCAAGTTTGACTTTCCTCCGACCACGACAAGATGCTTCAAGCTCGACGTGTCCACACACACACTCGTCAGAACGCGCGGCTTCTGGGCAGAGTCAGCCCTCAACCCATAAGTCAGGCTTGAATGGCACTCTCCCTCTACTGCTATGTAGAGCTTCTTCAAGGAGGAGGCTATCCTCGGGTTGAGGATACACTGACCTGTCAGGAGGGAACATGAGGACGACGACGTCACTCTCGCTGGCATCGGCTGAAACGCAGTCCTGGGAACCCCATGGAAGATTCCGAGGGAGCTCAGCACAGTAGACCGTTTCCTCTCATCGTCGGTTGCTCCCAACGCCAGCAGCAGGTGTTCTCCTGCTACACACACATTGCACAGCAAGTCCTCCATCATCAACTCGCAGCCGTCACAAGTGTACAGGTGCTCAGGGGTGAGCTCTGGGTATAGCGATGCGAGGTGGTCGCACACGTCTGAGACCGAAGTGTCTGCCCTGATGGGAACCTTGACGACTTGCGAGAACACATCGACCAAGACGAAGTCCTGCGAGCACGCGTGAGGTAAGGCAGCAGCTGCTGGCTCAACCATAGGGAGAGGTGGGGGGCTCATGCCGAGGAGTGTGCCAAATGAAACAAGTAGCTACGTTCAAGGACGGGAGATGATAGCACGTTCTCATCATTGCACATCAAGTTGGACATCAACAAGAGCAGGAAAAGGAGAAGATGGAAGTCGGCAAAATGAGCATGGCAAGCAACGAGCTTTGGGGGGCGACCTAACTTACCTTCTCATCGCCATGGTTGTGCTCGTTTGCCCTGCCGTGCTTGCCTGCCGACTTGCCTGTATCGTGTCCTTCGCCCCCTGCCGCCATGTCCTCCCTGTCTCTCGCTCCCCCGCCTCCTCCCTCTTTGTTATCCCTCGTTTTTGCCGGCGCCATAGCCTCTCGCACCGATATCCTCGTGGCCAATTGGGGTCCGACCGTACCCAATATTACCTTGACCTCACTTAGAACATCTACGACCTATTCCCTTACCGCTCCTCATCATGATCTCCAATCTCAGGTCGTGGAAGCGAAGCTGGGGGCAGCGAACAAGGCTGGGGACGAGAGGGAGATCGCGGCAGCAAGGTAGAGGACGAGGAAGCTGAGAGAGGAGGTCGAGGTCGCGAAGGCGGAGCTGAGAGAGGAGGTCGAGGTCGCGAAGGCGAAGCTGAGAGGGGAGGTCGAGGTCGCGAAGGCGAAGCTGAGAGGGGAGGTCGAGGTCGCGGAGGCGAAGCTAGTTGATGCGCAAACCAAGAATCAGACCCAGTTAGTAGATGATTTGCAGCGCTCTTTGTACCTCAATCAGTGCAAGCGTGCAGACTTTGATGCATCTTTGCCTATGCGGTTGGATACGGAAGGTAACCTGTACTTGCTGAGATTGTGTGCTGCCGTGCGGAGGGTTGAGGTGGTTTGAAAAGGCGAAGCGCTGAATGTTTTCCTGCAGTGTTGCATGCGGTGTCTCTCAAGTATCGCATTGCGCTGGGAGAGGTCGTTGACACGCTGAAGAGATACCTAGGCGAAGTGCTGGGATCAAGAACGGGAGCATTCAGCCACAAGAACCCCATCGACAAAGTAGTAGCAGAAGCGGGAAGAAAAGCCGGGATTGTTACTTGTATGATCGAGGCATGCTCGGGGAGCGGGAAATCGCTGAGTGCTGTAGACTACTTCGTACGAAATCCAAAGACATCGCTTTATTGCTTGTTCGGATACATCCAGGAACAGGATTTATATCTGATTGTACGAGGCATCTCGCACATGATCAATGCAGCCATCGATCTTGATCTCCAGGCGTGTGATCGCAGGATCGATTACCTTGACCCAACAAAATGCGAGCAGGAAGTCTTGACGATCGACCTGCACGCGTACAGCTGGAACTTGCTTGGTGTTGTGGGATACCTGTTTGGCAAGACGACGGGCCCAGGAAAGGTGCGCGTGGAGGAAGCAAAGCTGTGGACAGAGAAGGAGCACCTGTGGGTGTTGGTCGATGAAGCAATCCCGAGGTATCAAGGTATGCCCTGCCGCACCAACGCCTTATGGAGGCTGTTGTTCCTCAAGAGGATGCTTCATTACCAGACAAGACCAGCACAAACAAAGCTCTCACGTCCTCTTCGTCGCTTCGTCATCGATCTAGCGTCTCTTCATCTTTTCTCGGTCTCTCGTTCTCCTTTTCTACCGAGTCCAGCATCCCTCATTGGTCTGCGTCTCTGAGCGATCATCTCCCGGTTGCTTCACGGGTCCTCGTCATCCATCTTCACGGGTCCTCGTCATCCATCTTCACGGGTCCTCGTCATCCATCTTCACGGGTCCTCGTCATCCATCTTCACGGGTCCTCGTCATCCATCTTCACGGGTCCTCGTCATCCATCTTCACGGGTCCTCGTCATCCATCTTCACGGGTCCTCGTCATCCATCTTCACGGGTCCTCAACCCATCTTCACGGGTCCTCAACCCATCTTCACGGGTCCTCGTCATCCATCTTCACGGGTCCTCGTCATCCATCTTCACGGGTCCTCGTCATCCATCTTCACGGGTCCTCATCCATCTCGTCTTGCTGCATCGACGGTTCACTAAAAGGTTTCGTTGACAGCCCGATCTCCATAAGGATCAGTATCCTATGACTTTTGCACTTCGCCTTTCCGCCTAACACCTCAGTGTGCCATCCTGAGTCTCCTAGCGCCGGAGCCATGAACAACAGGAGGTTGTGATTGTCGTTGGCTAGTTTCTTCACAAACTTCGTGAGCTGCGATTGACCAAGAGGCTTTCTCCGGTTCTTAAACTCCGCTGCTCCCCTCATGCTGCTTTGGCCATCAGGACTGTGGACGGGGCCCACAAACTCTCCGTCCCGTCTCCGCTTGTCCTTGCATCGAATGTAGTACCCGAAAGCTTTATGGTCAGGCATCTCATCGTCACTGTCCCGCAAGGGGATCAGATTACAGAAGCACTGAGTCAAGACTTTGCGGAACTCCCGTGCTGATGCTTCATCCTTCACGCAACCAAGCACCTCCTTCACTTTGCCTCTCACTTCCCTTCCGCAATGATGGCTGAGGGTTGAAAGAATGTCCTCAGGATCGGCCCAGCTCGTCAACATCACCACGACTCCTCCAAACGACTCCAGCAGGTTCCCGTCTCGGCGCAGCGCATCTACTGCTGTTGGATCATCCATGGGCTTGAGAGCGTCTCGGTGGATCCTCCTCAACACCTCAAGGCTCGAGTTGTTCCCGAAAGGTCTCCCCCCGCCAGCACAGATCGCGACGGTGATGGGGTCTACCCAGCTTGGCGGGAACTTGCTAGTTAAGTCGTTGAGTTCGATCCCATTCATCTCAATCTGATTGTCGGTCCGTTTAAGCTCAACGATTGACTCCGAGCTGCCGCGTGCAGGGACTTGGCTCATCGGCCAAGCATTGAGGACACCAAAGCCTTGCAAGATGTGCGCCTGGCACATGCTTTCGTGCGTTGCTATCTGAAACATACAGTACAACGATGAGTCTTTGAGGCTTTTCTTGTCACTTCGTACTAAGGCCAACAGTGGATTTGCTAGATCTCGAAACAAGGTCGCGCTATCTTTCCCTTGTTCACCTCTCCAATACTTGAAGAATAGGTGGCAGAGCATGGGGTTGACATTGTCGAGCAACCCCTCAATCATCTCTTCCCCAAACACCTGCTTCAGGATATCGCGCTGCTCATCAGACTGAAGGATCATCGGAGGAAGAGCTCGATGGGTGATGCACTTGATAGTCTCTTGGTTCTTGCCTCGGCTATTTCTCGTCTGCTGTAAAGCATTGTTGAAATTCATCACCAGAGTGTTGGTACCCAGCATGATGCAATGAAAGCCTGCATTACGAAGCATCCTCTTGAGGAACAACAGCCTCCATAAGGCATTAGTGCGGCAGGGCATACCTTGATACCTCGGGATTGCTTCATCGACCAACACCCACAGGTGCTCCTTCTCTGTCCACAGCTTTGCTTCCTCCACGCGCACCTTTCCTGGGCCCGTCGTCTTGCCAAACAGGTATCCCACAACACCAAGCAAGTTCCAGCTGTACGCGTGCAGGTCGATCGTCAAGACTTCCTGCTCGCATTTTGTTGGGTCAAGGTAATCGATCCTGCGATCACACGCCTGGAGATCAAGATCGATGGCTGCATTGATCATGTGCGAGATGCCTCGTACAATCAGATATAAATCCTGTTCCTGGATGTATCCGAACAAGCAATAAAGCGATGTCTTTGGATTTCGTACGAAGTAGTCTACAGCACTCAGCGATTTCCCGCTCCCCGAGCATGCCTCGATCATACAAGTAACAATCCCGGCTTTTCTTCCCGCTTCTGCTACTACTTTGTCGATGGGGTTCCTTTGGCTGAATGCTCCCGTTCTTGATCCCAGCACTCCGCCTAGGTGTCTCTTCAGCGTGTCAACGACCTCTCCCAGCGCAATGCGATACTTGAGAGACACCGCATGCAACACTGCAGGAAAACATTCAGCGCTTCGCCTTTTCAAACCACCTCAACCCTCCGCACGGCAGCACACAATCTCAGCAAGTACAGGTTACCTTCCGTATCCAACCGCATAGGCAACGATGCATCAAAGTCTGCAAGCTTGCACTGATTGAGGTACAAAGAGCGCTGCAAATCATCTACTAACTGGGTCTGATTCTTGGTTTGCGCATCAACCAGCTTCGCCTCCGCGACCTCGACCTCCCCTCTCAGCTTCGCCTTCGTGACCTTGACCTCCCCTCTCAGCTCCGCCTTCGCGACCTCGACTATCGCCGCCTCGATCTCCCTCTCGTCCCCAGCCTTGTTCGCTGCTCCCAGCTTCGCCTTCGCGACCTCGACCTCCCCTCTCTGCTTCGCCTCCGCGACCTCGACCTCCCCTCTCTGCTTCGCCTCCGCGACCTCGACCTCCCCTCTCTGCTTCGCCTCCGCGACCTTGACTTTCGCCGCCGCGATCTCCTCT